TATCCAGGTCCGTGATTCCCAGAGGAGGGCCCCGGGCTCAGGCAAGGAAGGGCCTGGCCCAGATCGTAGACCTGGAGGGGGCGGTGCCCGGCCTGCGTTGTCTGCCCAGCCCTGTGGTCCTGCGACTACCACGTGACTGCCACATTTGGAGACAGGGGGGCGGGATGTGAAAAGGTCCTGTGGTTCTTCGTGGAGTGTCTGCCCAGCTGGGAGGGATGGTAGGACCCAGCTGACCTGAGGGCCTGCTGGCCCTAAGAGCTTCCCTCTTTTCTGTCCCTGCCTGGCACCCACAGCTTACAGGTTGGGGCCGGAGAACCTCACCCGTCGTGGGGAGCCGCGGGGTCGGGCTCGGGAATAACGCGCTGCTACAGGGTTAAGTGCAAAGGGGGGGCAGGGGCATTGGGCAGAAACGGTCCTGAGGGTTCCACCCCAGGGATGTCACTCCCTAGATCACGGCCTTGGTCCTGACAGCCTGCCCCACCCCCACCCCCTGTGCCCACCCTTGAGCACAGACCCCTTGCCGGTGAACTGGTACCTGATTTTTCCACTTGATAGCTCCGTGGCCCTGAGCAAGTAACTCAGCCTTCCTGTGCCTTGGTTTCCTCCTCTGTACGATGGGACCATTAGAAGGGATCCTGATGCCGTGGAGAGAATTGCCTGGGGCCCCCTCAGCAGGAAGCCCCTGCACAGACGTCCTGGTCCATCCCCCCCTTTTTCTTTTGCACTTGGGAGCTTCCGAGGCCGTGGCTGTGGTCTGCGGTCTCGTGGCACCTACTTTCACTGTCGTTCTTTAAGAGAGCTTCCCAGGGAGAGAAGACTAATCATATATATATATATATATTTTTTTTTTTAATGTTTTTTAAATTTATTTTTGAGAGAGAGGGACAGAGCGTGAGCAGGGGAGGGGCAGAGAGAGACGGAAACAGAATCCAAGGCAGGCTCCAGGCCGTCAGCACAGAGCCCGACGCGGGGCTCGAACTCACAAACCACGAGATCATGACCTGAGCCGAAGTTGGACGCTCAGCCGACGGAGCCACCCAGGCGCCCCCAGACTAATCACGTATTATTTGAAAATAAAAGTGCTGGGGCGCCTGGGTGGCTCCGTCGGTCGAACGTTCAACTCTCGATTGCATCTCAGGTCATGATTCCAGGGTCACGGGATCGAGCCCCACGTTGGGGCTCTGTGCTGAGGGTGGGGTCTGCTTGAGATTCTCTCTCACTCTGTCCCTCTCCCCCACTCAGTCTCTCTTTCCTCCCTTAAATAAAATTAAACAAAGAAAATGAAAGTGCTGCCCACGTGCGAAGTCCAGGATAATGGCGGTGGCGTCACGTCTGAATTGTTAAGTCGGACGGATGTCACCTGCACAGGTTAGAGCCCCTGCCAGTGATGCTGCCTGAGAAACGCTTCCCGTGCGAAAATCCTCCAAAACGTGAAGTGCTTTGTTCTGCGGCCAGACTTGTGATGCTTCCTTTGGGGGCCGGGGCGATTGCTGCGGGTAGGGAAGAAAGGCGTCTCAGGCATTTATTGTGTTCGAGCGTCGCCGAGCACCTGATATCCTGGGCATCACCCTGTGAGGTAGTCGAGATTCTCCGGCCGTGGTAGGAGCTGGCCCCTGAGCTCAGAGAGGTTAGTGGAGAGAAAGTCTGGCAGCAGGGGCCCAGAAGAACCTGAACTCTCCTTTTGCGATGGACTAAAAACCATTTGCCCTCAGCTCTGTATTAGTGTCCTCGGGCTGCCACCAAAAAAATGACCACGAGCCGGATGGCTTAACACGACAGAGATTTTCTGTCTGGATTCTGGGGGCTGAAGTCTGAAATCTACGTATCAGCAGGGGCCCGTTCCTTCCTAAGCCTCCACGGGAGGATCCTTCCCCGCCTCTTCTAGTGCCTGGTGGCTCCTGGGAGTCCCTGGCTTGTGGCCGCGTCCCTCCGGCCTCTGCCTCCGCTGTCCCGTGGCGGCCTTCCCCTGAGTGTCTCCACATGGCTCTCTTATAAGGACACCAGGAGCGGAACGGAGGGCCTGCCTGATTCCGCATGACCTCATCGTAACGAATGACGTCTGCAAAGACCCTATTTCCAAATAAGGTCACGTTCTGTGGTTCTGGGTGGATGTGAACTTGGTGGGGGGCGAGGGGGGGGACACGACTCAGCCCAGCACAGTGCTGGAGCCCTGGGCACATGACCCATGCTGGACAGTGCCCAGTCTCCATCCAGAAGCACGTTCCTGTCCTTGAGAACTCGGGACTCCGCTGGGGGTTTCTTCTTCTTCCTCTATCTCCTTCTCCTCCTTTTTTTTTTTTTTTTTTTAACATTTTTTTAAGTTTATTTATTTTGAGAGAGAAAGAGTAAATGAAGGAGGAGAGAGAGAGAGAGAGAGAGAGAGAGAGAGAGAGAGAGAGAATCCCAAGCAGGCTCCACACCCTCAGTGCAGAGTCTGATGTGGGGCTCGAACTCACAAACCGTGAGATCATGACCTGAGCCAAAGTCGGACGTTCAACCGACTGAGCCACCCAGGTGTCCCCTCTTCTTTTTTTTAATTAAAAACAACTTTTGGAAGTAATCTCTGCATCCACTGTGGGGCTCAAACCTACAACTGCCAAGTCAAGGGTCAGACGCGCTACCGACTGAGACAGCCAGGCGCCCCAGGACTCCGCCGGGGGTCCAGCTGGTCACAACCACACCCCAGCATGTGAGGGGCTCAGAGGAGAGATCTGGCTCCCAAAGCCAGATCTCTGGATGGATAGAGCGGAGGCTTGAGGGAGAGGATCCTTCAGGAAGGCTTGAAGTGGGGTGAGGTCCCTTCCAAAGTCTCTGGGGACCTAGCAGGACCCCCGCTGGTCCCCTGACAGGGGTTGTTTGCGTTCTGGGGTCTCGGTTAGAAGTTGGAAGGGGTGCCCGGGAGCACCCTGCCTTGTGCTTGGCCGCCCACGCTGGGCACCGACCCTGGCCCAGCAGCCGCGAGCTCCGGGCCCTCCTCCCGGTGGTTGCCTCCTGCGGTCGGCTGAGTGTTCCTTCCGGGCGGAGGAATGTCCGTGCTGTCCCCACATGTCAGTGAGGAAAGCAGTCCCAGCGTGCTCACTCAGAACTGATGCAGAGCCCAACGGACGTCAGGGTCATGGAGTTCTTCTTCTGGCTTAAAGCAGACATCCTCCGTGGGTGCATATCACCCCCAAGGGTGAAGCCTGCTTCTTGAGGGGGAAATTACCTTAGACGTCCCAATGGCCTGTGGCCCTCCCCTGGCCACCGTGTGTAAACGGAGCGGCAGCATGTCTGTGTTTTTCACTTTTCATGGAGGAGGGCGAGTAGGAAAATGTCTCCCAGGGCTCCCTCGGGAGTGATGATGAGACAAGACAGACAAGCGCTGGTCTGGCCCAAAGCCCTTTGGCTGCTGCTTCAGCCACACCGCGGCCTGGGCAGGAACGGGTACACGTGCAGGGCTGATCTCCCGCAGAAGCAGACGTCCTTACTGCTCCGTATCCTCATTCCGGCCTCACGAGACTCCACCAGGGAGTGACTTTGTCTTCGCCATTAAAAAAAGAAAAAAAAAATTTTAATGTATATTTATTTTTGAGAGAGAGAGAGAGAGAGAGAGCTCAAGCGGGGGAGGGGCAGAGAGAGAGGGAGACACAGAATCCGGAACAGGCTCCAGGCTCTGAGCCATCAGCACAGAGCCCGATGCGGGGCTCGAACACCTTGATTCCAGACTTCTGGCCTCCAGAGCTGCAAGAATACATTTGTGGTCATTTGTTTCAAAGGCCGCAGGAATCCGGTACAAATTCCATTAGTGTTTTTGTTTGCTTTTGAGGGAGTTGACGGGATTGTGTATGTATGTGTATGCACACACACGTGTGCATGTGCACGTGTGTGTGTGTGTGTTGAGGGCTCGTCTGCCCCTTCCTGCCACCTTCTTCCTTTCGTTGCCACCCTACCTCCGTGTCCGCCTGGCCCCCACCGGCCTCCCACGCCCTCCGTGGATGGGGCCACTGCTGTCCTCTCCTCTAGGAAGGCGGCCCCCGGGGGCGGGCAGCTGTCACCGCTGTGCCTCCCCGGGCCGACAGATCCCCCGAGAGGAGCCCAGGTTGGAAAAGTCCTTCTTCCTATAATTCCCATTTTGTGCGGCACTCAAGCCCCCGTCCTTGTAAAGGGATAAATGGAGCTCGAGCGGGGCCCTCAGAGCCAGAGGACGAGGTGCGAATCAGAGATCGGAATTAACGTGTTCGCGAAGGGCAGGCAACTTCTGGGGAAGGCCCACGCGCCGGCCGGCAGAGCGGGGCCACCTCGGCACGGGTCTTTGCAAGGAGACGCATCCTGCAGGTGATGCCTCATAAACCGCTCCGAGAGCCGAGCAGTAATCAACACCAGGAAATAAATTCTCCAAAAATAAAGGCGACGCGAGTATGGGTGGGGGGTGGAGGGCCGTGATGTTTGTGGCAGGCAATGTGTTTGAGATCCTGGGAACAATTCATGCCCAGGAGCCCAGCGATAATTTACTCGAGGCTTAATAGTCGGCAAGTCCCCAGGCGACTTTGGGTGGAATTTATTTTGGCACGACGTAGCCCCTCTGGGAGGAAATGGAGAAGCAGACTCGGGGCAGCCGGCCATGCCCGGGAAAGGGCTCCTGTCGCCTGGGGGTCCCGGGCCAGATCCTGTCCAGGCTCTGGAATAGAATTCCTCTGTCTGCTTCGGCCTCAGGCACTGCCCTCCAACACGCAGGGCACACGCATGTGGGGATGACTGGCCGGCGGGCCTGACACACCAAGTGGGGGCTTTCCCGTGTGGCGTGTGCGGTGGGTGGTTAGAGAGCCCCGGGGGCGGGGGAGGGCACACGCCTCCGTCTGCTGGCCCAGCGTCGTCCATCTCCCTGTTTCGGTTCCTTGCAGGGCAGCGTCTGGGTCCCCAGGAGCACGGCAGGCCCGCTGCCTCTGCTCACGTGCTGAGTCCCTCCCGGGAGGGCCACCGCGGCGAGCTGTGCCCGCTCACCCCTGGCTTCTCCCGCCTAGGTTTCCCCCGGGGGCCGGCCTCATGGAGCGGATCCAGGCCATCGCCCAGAACGTCTCAGACATCGCCGTGAAGGTGGACCAGATCCTGCGTCACAGCCTGATTCTCCACAGCAAGGGTGGGGGCCAGGGCACCCCTCTGCCTCCAGGGGGCCGGGGTACCGCGCGGCCCTGACCGCGCCCCGGGGCATCTGTCATGGCTCCTGCCTCGGGCTCTAAGTGGAATGATTTGGGGTTCACCCTGCTGTGACCTGGCGCGAGGACAGAGGTCTTGGAGGCCCTCTGTGGCCCCTGCGTTTCCCCTGATGTGGGGAGCAGCAGGCTGGGGGGTCCCCCTCAAAGAGTTTTGAGTACGTTTGGGTGGGTCCGTGAGGTCTGCCTATCCAGACACGGGTCCATAGGCATTCGAGCCAGCTCCTTACTGGTTCTGAAGCCGCTTTGGAGGGGGGGGGGCTAGTGGCAGAGGGGGGAACCCGGGCTCGGGCGCCCTCTGGCAGGTGGCCTTTCAGGTGAGAAAACTCAGCGGAGGGAGGGCGGTGTGGGCTCCTCAGTGACCCCTTCCCACCGCAGACCGGGCCTCTCCAACGCTTCACGGGGCCCCTCCGTACACCCGGGGCCTCAGCAAGCTGACCTTCCCTCCCTGCAGTGTCTGAAGGCCGGCGGGACCAGTGTGAGGCACCCAGTGACCCCAAGTTCCCCGACTGCTCAGGGAAGGTGGCGGTCCGGCCGGGGGCCGCCGGCGGGGGTCGCGGTGCCCGGGGCGGGGGGCGGGGCAGGCTCCTCCTCAGGGGCTCTGCCCCAGACTAGCCCTGATGTTCTGCTTGTGGGGGCTTCTCTGCCCAGCCCCCTGACCCTGGCACCGGCTGGCAGAGGCCAGCCTCAGGGGGATGGCCTCTCCTCTTGGGCCACCTGCCTGGCCCACCAACCCAGGTTGCTCCCCACCCTGGCAACCAGCTGGGCTGAGAAAGCCCCCTACCCCACCAGCCCCACCTCTGGGGGCTCACCCCCAGGGGCCCGTGGCTGCATGAAGTCTGTCCATCTGGGGGGTGCAGTCCCTGGCGTAAAAGCCAGCTCGTCACTGGTTCTGAACTCCCTGAGAGGGTAGAGCAGAGGCACTGCAGACCCCCTCCTCGGTGACATGTGGGGATCACTGTGGGTGGGGCCTGCTCTGACTCCTGTCCCTGTGCCCTTGGAGTCTGCTCCTGACCTTGGCCTCAGCTGAATCCTGCTCCCCATGACCAGCCAAGCCCTGAGCTGCTGTGTCTCCCACTGTTTGGCCTGGAGCTGTCCCTGAATGTGTCGTGACCTGGCCTTGTTCTCCCAGGGTCCTCCTCTTTCCGGGCCCGGGGGGGGGCGGTGGTCCTGCTCGGCCTTCCCTGAGGTTCTCAGCAGCCAGGACACAGGGCTGGGTCGTGGGGCCCTGGTCTGGTTGTCTTCTCTGCTTCTGGCCCTTGCTGCTTCTTTAAGTGTGGCAGAGGTCCCGCCCTGAGGGTCCCCGAGGACATGCATGCCGAGAGCCTGCCGAGGGTGTGGGTGGGGCTGGTGCCAGCACCCTGGCCTGGGCTGGCCCTCTCCACAGTGGATGCGCGCCCGCTGGACCTCTGACCCTTGCTACGCCTTCTTCGGGGTGGACGGCACCGAGTGTTCCTTCCTCATCTACCTAAGCGAGGTCGAGTGGTTCTGCCCCCCCGCTGCCTTGGAGGAATCAGACAGCCGCCCAGATGGCCCCCAAGCCCCTCCCCAAAGTCCAGGTAGGCGTGGGAGGTGGGTAGGCCTGTGAGGGGCTGGTAGACAGGCCAGCTGGTCTCCTCAGATGGGGCGTCCTTAGGGTCAGCAGGAGGAACCCTGAGTGAGGCCAGCCAGCCGTGCCTGTCCTACCTTCTGGGGATGCTGCAAGGCGTGGCCTACTTGAGGGGCAAGCTGGGGCCCCGGAGGCACCCCCTAGATGGAAAAGAATAATAGTAACAATAGCTGTCGCTTCTGGAAGGCTTCCAGATGCTTTATATGTACTTAAACCTCCCAGCAGCCTTTATGTGACCGCATTGAACAGATGGAGATTCTGAGTTTAGGGAGTGGCGTTAACTTGTTCAAGGCACCTCGTTACTCCAGCTCCACTGAAAGGTGGCCCGGACTTCCTACCATCCGAGTACCAGCTCTGACCACTACCCTCGCTGCCTCTGTGTCGCAGCTGAGACCCCTGGGAACTCTCACAGCTGCCCACCCCCAAAGGGCTTGGGACGGAAGGCTGGACTGAGACAGAAGGTTGGGCTGGGGGGTTAGTGTTGGTGGGTGAGACCAGGGCTCCCCGACTGTGGGGGCTCCTCGGCCTCTACAAAGGGCAGGAGAAGCTAGAGCAGGCCCCAGCCTCCCAGGGAGGGTGCGGGCCCCTGTCCCCCAGGGCAGCAGGTGACAGTGGTGGTGCAGCTGGGGGCTGAGGGCTGGAGGACCCAGGTCTGGGCGCCCCCTCCAGGCAGTTTTCCGGAGCAACCTGTCCCACCTCCTGGAGCTGATGGGCAGTGGGAAGGAGTCTCTAATCTTCATGAAGAAACGGACCAAGCGGCTCACGGCCCAGTGGGCACTGGCCGCCCAGCGGCTGGCACAGAAGCTGGGAAGCGTCTGGAGGGATCAGAAGCAGGTACTGCTTCCCTGTGCATTCAGGGAGCTGAGTTCACAGAGCTTAGGAAATGAGCTTAGGGCCCCAGGTTTATAAGTAGGCACTGAGTCTGTCCTTGAAAAGGTTTTATTGAATTATTTAAATTTTAGCTGGGACAGGAGAGGCAGAGTCAGGATAGATGCATATGGTGGCCCCGGCTCTTTTCACGTTTGGGGTAGAATGACAAGCCTTCTCTCACACTGCTTAGGGGTTCTGCCTTCTGTAGACATCTTGTGCTTTTCAGGCAGAAAAGTCATGGCATTTGCCTAGAATATTGAGAATAATGTAGCCTGTTTTGGGGAGATTTGTAGGTTCGTCCATCCATCCATCCATCCATCCATCCATCCATCCATCCGTCTATCCGTCCATCCGTCTATCTGTCCATCCATCCTTCCATCCATCCAACCACCCATCCATCATATATCCATCCATTCATCCATTTGTTCACCTGTCTGTCCATCCATCCATCCGTCTATCTGTCCATCCATCCATCCATCCTTCCATCTATCCAACCATCCATCCATCCATCCATCCATCCGTCCAACCACCCATCCATCATATATCTATCCATTCATCCATTTGTTCACCTGTCCATCCATCCATCCATCCATCCATCCATCCATCCACCATTCTACCCATCCATCTGTCCATCTGTCCATCCGTCCATCTGTCTACTCATTTACCCATCCAATCGTCCATCTGTCCGTCCATCCTTCCATCTATCCAACCATCCATCCATCCATTCGTCCATCTATCTGTCCAACCACCCATCCGTCATATATCCATCCATTCATCCATTTGTTCACCTGTCTGTCCATCTATCCATCCATCCATCCATCCATCCATCCACCCACCCACATATCCATCCAACCATCCAGCCAGCCAGCCAGCCACCCATCTGTCCATCCATCCATCATCTATCTGTCCATCCATCCATCCATCCATCCAACCACCTATCCATCATCTATTCATCTGTGCACCCACCCACTGTCCCATCCACCCATCTATCTATCCATCCACCAATAAATATTTACCTGACTCTCACATCACCCTGTTTATTTCCTTCAGAGTCCCTATCATTTCATGAAATTATCTCTTGTCTGTGTTTACTGTTGTCTACTTCTTCCATCTGGAACGTAAGCGCCTTGAGAGCCGGATGTGAACATCTTGTTCACTTTTATCCCCAGTGCCCAGTGCAGTCACTCTGCCTCTTGGTCCCCCTTCTGGTGCCAGAAAACACCTGCCCAGGCACAGCCTGGAGACAGCATCTGCTGCTGGCCAGGTCTCCCTGGGGGTGGCAGGGCAAGAGCTGCTGCTCCTCCGTGCTGACCCTGTGTCCTCCCTCCATGCTGACCCTGTGTCCTCCCTAGATCCTCGTTCACATTGGCTTCCTGACGGAGGAGTCTGGTGACGTGTTCAGCCCAAGGGTGCTGAAGGGCGGGCCTCTGGGGGAGATGGTGCAGTGGGCAGACATCTTGGCCACTCTCTATGTCCTGGGCCATGGCCTGCGGATCACAGTGTCCCTGAAGGAGCTGCAGAGGTGAGTGCTGGGGAGGGGAGGGGAGGGGAGGGGAGGACAGGGCAGGGAAGGAAGGGGAACCTGTCCCCCGGGGGCCACTGCTCTGCCTGCAGTTCCCTGGGAGGTTCTTGGTATACTGTGGATAGTGACAGTACTAATTTCCTGCTCCTCTCCACGTTGGTTCCTGGTCATGTTTGGGATGCACCAAGGAAGTATATTTGCATAGTGCTGTTCAAAGGATCCTTTTCTCCATCTTGGGCCAACACGTGCCCTGGTGTTTGTACTCAGGGGCTGACAAATACCAGTTTGTGGAATTGAGCCATGTCATGTAGCTGGGGTCCTCTTTGCCTGCCGTCTTGGTGGGCTTGGTGGAGTCTTGGAGTTTTTCTTCTGGAATTGGGCTCCTTCCTGGGCCTCTTCTGGGGTTGGGGGGCTCGCAAGACCTGGGGGGTGGTAAGGTGGGCTGCTAATGCCTCTCCTTCCCCAACGCTTGCCTTTCCAGGGTCCCCCTGATGCTCTTAGAGGTGGGAGATGGTGACGACAGGGGGAAGGATTGCGTGTATGTGTGTGTGCATGCCTGTGTGCAAGTGCGATTAAGCTTAACTACTGCACCTGTGAGATAGAGAAATACAGTTTTTCTTCGTTTATTAATGTTTATCATATAATATTTGACACATACAAAAATGTATGTAACAGATGTCAGGAAGTGCAAATATAGGGTGTCCTCCCGTGATTCTACCAGAATTCCCCCAATATTCCCAGGGCGCCTGGGTGACTCAGTCGGTTAAGGAACTGACTTCGGCTCAGGTCATGATCTCACGGTTCATGGGTTTGAGCCCCGCATTGTGGTCTGTGCTGACAGCTTGGAGCCTGGAGCCTGCTTTGGATTATGGGTCTCCCTCTCTCTTTCTGCCCCTCCCCCACTCATGTTTTCTCTCTCTCTCTCTGAAAAATAAAATAAAATATTAAAAAATGTTTAAGTATTAATTTAAAAGATTTTCTTTTAAATTAATACTTCTTTAATACTTAAAGAAAGAGAGAAAACAAAAGAAAGAAAGAAAGAGAGAGAGAGAAAGAGACAGGAAGGAAGGAAGGAAGGAAGGAAGGAAGGAAGGAAGGAAGGAAGGAAGGAATATTCCCAGGACTCCTGTATCCACCTGGTGCCCCTTCTCTCCCTCATCCCTCTGCCTCCCCCCAGAGGAAACTTGCAACTTGGACTCTGTGTTTATCATTTCTTTGCTTTTAAAAAACAAATTAATTTTTTACATGGTCATGTATCCATAAACAGCATACGGTTTACTTTTCTTTTGCTTTGAGCTCTGTGCAAATGGCATCTACTGTATGTAACGTTTGAGACTTGCTTTCTTCACCCATTATTATGTTTCGATGATTCACCCATGTTGTACGAAGTAGCTCTATTTTTTTAATTTTCACTGCTATATTTCATTATGTGGATGGTCCTTAATTATTTATCAGTTTTTGCTGACTGTGGACATCTTTTTCCTGCTTTTGTAACTTATCTTGAATGATGCTACGGTAGACACTCTTATACATGTCACCTGGGGAACCTGTGTCATGGTATAGACTGAGTTTCTCTTTGGGATGGACTAAGGTGCACAATCATTGGGACTAATGGTGTGAAATAATGCCAGCTGTTTTCCAAAGTGATGGCACCGATTTCACCCCACCAACTGGAGGTTCCCAGTGGCCGTGTTCTCACCCACACCTAGTGTAATCAGACTTCCTGACTGAGGGTGGTGTCGAGTGGTATCATGATATCTTGTTGTGTTCTTAACTTGCATTTCCATGACAACTAACGAGGCTGAGCATTCTGTCATAAGTTGGTCCTTCTTTCCCCTTGATGAAATGCCCACACACGTTATTTGCTCACCTTTCTGCTGGGTTGTTTATCTTTTCCTTATTGAGTTGTCGGAGTTCTTTGTATATTGTGGGTATAAATCCTGTGTGAGTTATATTTGTTTAAAAATCTTCTCCAAATTTGTGGCTTGTCTCTTGTCATTTTTTCTTTTTTTCCCCCCAAGGAACAGAAAGCCTTAATTTAATGTAATCAAAAGCATCGATCTTTTTTCTCTTTATGGTTAGGGATTTATGGTTGGATTTTTTTCTTCCTCTTTCTCATTGGTATTTGGATGAGACTGTTCTAACTTGGCCCCAGGGCATGACTAAGGAAGGCCGCAGAGTTGTTGCTACACGTCGGCTTTCCTTCATCAGCCCATTAACTTACTCTGAGGTGGTTTTCAAGCTAATGTGTGATTCCTGTCCAGAACTTGCCCGCCATCTTGATGGTCTATTGGTTCTGGATGTCTCTGATCAGCACTTTGTCCTGGCCACAAATGCTGATGCTCTATAGCACAGGAGCATTGGAGAGCGGAGGATACTGGCGGGGACAAAGCCATAGGCAATCTTAGGTCAGCGTGGTTTGGGCAGCTACTCATCCTCTCAGTTTTCCCCTGAACTTGGAGTCTGCCAGTAACTCGAGTAGGGCTCCGTGTGACCTTGATCGGAGGGTGGTACTAGGACCAGCTCTATGGATGGAGGATTATGGGGAGAAGGAGGCTGATACCACATTGTGCTGGGAGGCCACTAAATGACCTAGTGGCTTGAAGGTTTTTATTCCTGTGGCTTGTGATTCACTGCTGGAGTCACTGTTTTAGACTGATGCACTTATCGCTTCTCGGCCTTTTGGCTAAGATCAAGTGTAGACTGATGCACTTGTCTGCAGTAGGCCTAGGGAAGGTGAAGTGTCTTCAGAGAGGAACAGTACCTATAGGGTTCACTTTGAAGGGGGAGAAAGAAGATGACAGGGACTAAGGAAGGGGCTGTATGGGGTGGCAGCACTGGGAAACACAATCCCAGGTTGGGGGCAGCAGGTTCTGGGGGAGGAGTTGTCACCTGGGAGTAGCACATCCCCTACCCCTCAACCCCCCTACCCCCAGCCCCTGCCAAAATCTGGCAGGAGGTCGGTCACCAAGAGTGGGAAGGAACTGGCCAGGGAGCTGTCCCCGAGTGCTGGTGCTGAACCTGCAGACTAGCTACTCAGCACTGGGAGAGGGAACCAGCATGTCCCTCACTCTGACTCTCACCCTGGTGGCACTTTGTTGTCAGACCAAGCTGTTCACATTGTGCAGGGCTCTTCAGAGCTGAGTGTGCCCACTCACCACCCGCCAGCACACACTGCTGCTCACCTCCAGCTCCCTCTGAACAGAGGACTCAGATGCATCAACACTGTGGAGCAAAATGCTGCTAATGTTTTTGCAAATGATGAAAAGAGGCATCTTTGCCTGGCCTGGAAGCTTCCTGCAGGAAAGCCAGATAGGGTGGGGGTGAGGTGAAGAAAAGAGAAAAGGGAGCCTGTGTCTGCAAAGTCAAAGAAGTCTTGGGCAGTTTGTGGATGGCACAAGCAGGGGTTGTGGTTAGCCACAAGCCAGACCTGCCTTGGGCAGAGCAGCAAGCAAGGGTCTAGGGGCCCTTGTCCCCTCGGTCATCAGAGACCCTAAGATACAGTGGGAAGAATCCAGGGGGTGAGGGCTGTCCGGACCCCTCATCCCAGGCTCTGCCACACACAAAGTCCCCTGTGAGTGTGAAGCATCCTATCAGCATTACTGACACCTTGACCTGCCTCAAGGTTAGATGAATTCACGTTTATCAGATGGGGTTCAGCTTGATTCCTCCCTGCATCTTCTGGGGCCAGAGACATGAGAACTTCCTTCCTTTACTGCTCCCTGAGGGAATGGGCAGGCCTCTCCCAGGCATTTGTGACAGCCTATCAACCACCCTGAGCGAATCATCCCCCCAGGGGAGAGAAGGTATTTGACAAGTCTGCGTAAGAGATAGGAATTTACCTCAGTTACTCTGCTTCTCAACCTGGGCTGAGGTGTCTTCTCGCTCAACCTTCAACCTGAGTCCTTACCTGCCCAGAGCACTTCCTCCTCTGGCCACTTCTTGGGCCTGGCCCTGAGCCTGTAGTTATTGTCATTGCTTATCCCAGGGCCAGCGTGGTGCAGGTGGGGTTCACTGCACTCAGGAGGCCTTGAAAGTGAGGCGCTTGTGTAAGGTACTAAGGTCTGAAATACCTCCTACTGCCAGCTCGTTCACTACATGCGTGTGCCCACATGATGCTCACGTGTGCCCATGCGTGCGTGCCCCAGTGCATAACCGTATATGAATGCCCATGTGCGTGTGTGTGCACATGCGTGCGGCCCCTGTGCATACCTCATGCATGCACACGTACATGTCTATCCCTACACATACCCACACACAGGCAAACACATGTGCAAGCACACACACACACACACACACACACACACTCACACGCCCCACAGGCACTCCATATCTTCCTGCCAACACATCCCCTCCTGCCAGGCTCCTGTGGATCTGAAATTCCCAGGAACAGGGGCTCCAGGGAAAGGTTGCTCCATTCCTGATTTGCAGTTTGTTAAATGGGCAGGCCCGAGGCTGTGCCCAGATAGCTCTGTCCTCGGTCCCCCGTGGGAGGTAGGTGTGAGCAGAAGCTCTTGCTCAGGGCAGAGTTGTGTCAACAGCCCAGACACCTCAGGGAACAGTCTCATGAAGGGGTTTTCTAAATCTGTTATCAGAAACAATTCCAAAACAGCTAAAGGAATAAAAAAAAAAAAAAACTATCATCTCCAGGAGACATAATCCGGTTATGTCTACAAAATTAACAGCATCAGCTGTGGTCAGAATACATCTCAGGTGGGGATTCTTACCCTCCACCCGCCCCCCCGGCCCTGTCACCGGCTGCAAACATACTAACATTTGGGCCCCACTCTTGGTGTCTCTATTTAATCGGTCTGGGGTGGGTGTCATTATTATATTTCCCAAGCTCCCCAGATGATCTAATGAGGAGTGAAAGTCGAGAAATGGAAACATTGAGGCTGTGGTTTTTGTAAGCCTCCCCTGGAGCCCCCCACCCCCACAGTCTGGGCTGCTGTGGGATTGGGACTTTGTAGAATGTGCGAGCCGGCCTTCATGACTTGTTC